CCTTTCTCATACACCAATATAAATAGTTTTGGGAAACTGCATGCCATCCTTGTCAAGCCCATCAGTAACATCTGCACATTTCTGTCATGGAGTGAAGGTAGACACACTGCATGGTAGCGGTAGCGCTCACTCAGGATAGACGATTGGAGAGTCAAGTGCTAGTTCTGTGTAGCTGAAATAAGCAGAAGAATCAGACTTTTAATAAAAGTGATTTTAATAAAAATCACTCGACTGAGCAAAACTGGTAGGAATTCCTTTAGGAACAGCATGGTACTCAACTGTAGAAACTCAAGCAAACATAATGAGTAAAACCAAGTGGAAAAAACTAAAAAAAAAAAATGCATGACATAAATGCAAATTGTGGGAACTACATTAGAAGTTCAGGAAGTTAAGTCTCCTGGATTCCAGGAAAGACATCATGGACTCTCCTGGGTTCCATGGCAGGAGGGGAGACCAGCAAGCCTTGGAGAGGTATGATGGGTGAAGAGGGAGGTTTAGGGAAGCAGGCAGAAGGGCAAAGAGGGGTCAAAATGACAGTCACAGGTGAAAATACTGGTACACAGTGGGTAGAACAAGGTCTTAGAAATGCATTGTCAACTTCAATGTAATGGAAACAGCATTCTATACTTAAGCTTCTTAAATTGAGCTTTTTCTCAAGCATAGTGTGAGATAATTGGGATATAGTTGAGCTAAAATTTTCTTTTATTATATTAATGGAAGAAGGGTGTGTTGCAAAAATTAACAGTAAGACAGCACGGCAGGGAGGGTGTACAAACATGGGAACACACTGTGTCCAATCACCCCCAAGCACTTAGAAGCAACAATTTACATACAAACAATAGTTAGACTAATTGCATATCCTTTGTAACTATCCATTAAAGGAAGTTCAATGAAAGATCATCATTAGGTAGTATTTATCAGTCTTTTCTCCTCACCTAGAAGTAATAAGACTGAGTTTCATTTGCATTATGCTACAATTTAGGTAATTTACAAATTCAGATAGGTTTCCCACCCAGTTAATTTTAATTGAGTTTCTCATCACTATGAATCAGAGATTCAGAAAATATTGCTAGCAAATTCACTAGCAAAATTAAAGATTTTTTTGTGTGTGTGAAGAGGTTCATCTTTGTCTTCAATTTGGACAGCCTCATGTACTTTTAGATGAGCTGGGTTCCATCCTCCTGTAAAGGTAAAATTTCCAAGCTCATTCTAAGTCGCAGAGCCTGAGTTAAAGTGTAAAAGACCAGGCATCCTAAAGTTTCCAAAGTGCAGAGATTGGGTTAAAAAGTAAAAGACTGGGTATTGTTAGAGTCCCTCTGCTACCCCTAAAACCTGTAATTCCTGTAGCTTTTAGGACAATACTGGAACTGCCCAGTAAATATTTCCACTGACTTTCTGGTTGTTTAATAGCTAAGGGTTCCAAGTTGCTTGGCGCGTAGGCATTGCAGGACCTAAACCAATCAGTTTGAATGTGTACCCCACCTAGGAGCACCAATCACTCCTGCCCTGATTGTTCCCGCCAATGTATGCACTAATCCTGACTCAGGGTTGTTGTTCAATTTTCCCGCGCCTCATGATGATTTGTTCTGATGTATGCAAAGCCCCCCACCCTCTCCAAAAAGTGTACTTAAGCTCCACTTGAACTCTGCTCTGGGCTCTGGGCTGCTCTCCCTTCTTGAGTGAGCACAGAGTCCCAGCGCGCTGGAATGGATCCCCAATAAATATCCCCTTTTGCCAATTGCATGGAGTCAGTCTCTTGGGTGGTCTCTCCCTCTGCCAGACCTTTACACTCCTTGAAATCTTCTAGTAGTTTCTCAAAGCCCTTGTAATTCCTTAATGCTGGGGGCTGGGAAATGAGGAGGTAAATTGGATAGGACTTGAAGGTAGAAGAGGTCAGCAGCTGTGAAGGAGACAATGACTCAGTTAAGAACCCTGTTGACTGCGAACCCACAGTCACGAGGGGTGAATCGCACAGTGCCCTTGTAGAGAACATGGCGGTGAACTCACCCCAACCTCTTGTCTGATCTCCTAGAAACTTGAATTTGGGATGGAGATGGGAGGAAGAAGACTCTAGCTTATGAAGCCTGATCCAGAGACATATAGACAGGGATGTCTTATCTCCTATCAAGAGAATTTTAGGGTGAGACAGGAAGAACTAGAGTGCTAGGTAGAATCTATGATAGCAGCCTTACTATCCACATCCCTAGGTTCTGAGACTAGATAAGGCTGTGTTGTGGTGGGAAGTGACTTCCGAGGGCTGTACTCGGTACTGGGGCCAGCCTGCAGTGCCACAGTACATTTAGTAGTCCACCCACTGGGATCTATAACTTACTGGTCCTATTGACTTTAAAGTGGGAACAGGGATGAGTTGAATGTGGTTGGAGAGAGAGAGAGAGAGAGAGAGAGAGAGAGAGAGAGAGAGAGAGAGAGTCCTTGGTGAGTACAGCAGTTAGACACCAGGCAGGACTATACGTCTCCCCTGATTTTTATCATGGAGAAAGCAAGCTTTCTGTTGCCCATGCTGGCAAAATGTTGGCAGTGGACAGAAAAAGTACACCACACTTTGCTTATGCAATAAATGTTTACCGAACATGTCTAGCATGGTCCTGGATCCCAGAGAGAATATGAAATCAATGCAAGGTAGTTCTTTCATTCATGATGCTCCGTGACTGTTAACACATCCACTCAACCGGGATAGAAACACCAGTTTAAGACAGATTCAGACCATAACCTGCTGGGATGAGTCAAGGAGGGCTTCATGGAGGAAGCAGCCCTCACTGAACCTTAAAGAAGGGGTATAATTAACATAGAATGGAAGGTAGTTTCAATGGAAATTCACAGTGGTTTATGGGAATTACATGAGATACTCCACAGAGGTCAGACAGCAAGATTCTGGGCACCAAGAAAATCCATAGCAAATGAAACTAATCACTCCTGCTGTAGCTATTATTTCTGCTACTTTCACGGCTATCACCATGTCTAATTTGGGGCTATTTTCACAGATTTTTGTGCAGGTGAAAGGAATTAAAGGGACATAGGCACAGGGCACAGTTTTGACATTCTTCTCAAGTCTGTGGGACAAAAGGAATCACAGTAACCAGGAGCAGGCAGCAGAACGATTTCTGTGTCAAGAGTGTATCAAAACTGCTTTTGCTCAGACACCACAAAAAGTTAACACTAAAATATTTAAGCTAGGCTCCCATAGATGCCACCCCTGATTTCTGTGTCCCTAAAACTCAGTGCTCTAGAGGACAAATATATCTCTCAAAAATGAAGCAGAACCATCCAAGCGCCTGCCTAGACATAATTCCTCTCTCTGCTTCTTTCTTTAAGTGTTTTGGCCACAGATGTGTTAGCAGGAATGAAATGCAGGAGATGTATTCTCTTTAGTGCCTGCAGATGATGAAGATGCGGGGACCAAGTTCGAACACCAAGCAGCGAGTGAGTGGGATTTGTTCTTACATTCAAAACATCTTCTCACGTGCTGCATTAAAAAAATGTTAAATGAGATTTGCGCTGAGAGCCATTATTGCCCAAGTTTCAGAACAACTCCCTTATTGCTGATTATTATCCTTTTCACAAAGGCCAGCCTCTTCATTCTGTGTGTTGTCATGTTCTATAAATATCAAAGCCTTCAGAGACGGTGTCACTAGTGGAGTCGGGAGCTTCCTGGGTGTACCACGCCTGCCAAGATAGAATATCTGTGTGTGCAGGCTGATTTCATAAAAGGGATTATTCAGTCAATAGTTAAGTGGTAACAAACTCCAATTTCACTTTCTGTGCTGCGGGAGTTGAGCAGCTGGGCTGTGTATGTGAATGCATTCAGATGTGACTCCGTGGGACTGGATCCCCTGCAGCCAGTGTAAGTGATTTGTTCAGGATCGGTACTGCCACAGGGTCTCTTTTCCCATGAATAGGAAGCTGACTCCTTGGACAGTTCCCCACTGAAAGTTTTATTCTGAGTATTCACAGAGAAGTGAAATTCTAGTAGAGAGAAGATTGTTACAGTAATTCTACCTCTTTTTGTAAAAGTCAGATCATTTCAAGAACACCCAGAGGATTAAAAACAACATTACTGACAACAAAGTAACAATAAGAATTTTCCTTGAGGCATTTTTCTTTCCAGTGTAAAGGACCAGTTTGAGACCTGTGAGTTACTGCAAGGACTAAACATAACGTCAGGCAGGCAGCACGTAAAATAACCCACCAGCCAGCATTCAGACAGAAGAGGCAGGAAACTTTTGTTTTCTAGGGACATGATTTCTCTCTGTCCACAAGATTTTTTTTTTTCCAAAGGAGAGAACAGTATTATCTGAATGGTGATCTTTTCCTCAATGTGAGCCTTAGATACTCTGAAGGTGAAAGGCATCAAACTGATTCTTTTGCGTGTCTGGGTAGCAACTTGTTGCAAACAGGGACACCACCAACTAGAGTCCAAGAATCTATTTCTCATGCATGTTCAAGGAGAAGGATCAACAAAGGCAGTGTAATCCTCCTATTTCACTAGGCATGATCTTTCTAGTGGCACCCATTTCTGCTCTGGGGAATATGGGCTTTCTGTACCTCTAATGCTCCTAGCAAAAAGACTCATAGCTCTGACAGTGAGCACACATATACCAGAAATATCTATTTTCGACAAATTCACTATTTCTACTAGAAGCAGACATCTCGAGCACTGCTATAGAATTAGCTAGAAGTGCTTTCACCTAATGAAAACAGGAAAGTAAAAGAATCTTCCACTTACAAATATTACTTACGATTCACAAGTTTTCATCAGAAGAAGAAAATACACCAGTATACATTAAAAAAAAATCAATAATTCAGAAATCTTGGAACACTATGAAAATCATTGTTTAAAACTATCATTTCCTTTACTCTTTTTAGAAAAGAAAATAAACAATGGCCATTCACAGTACTGGCTGATACTTTCACTGCCCTCCTAAGTTCTATCTGTCCCATAGTTTAAAGTCAACATTCAGCATGGAATCTGGAACACTTACCTTAAAGGAGGAGTAGACAGAGCCCCACTCCTCTCCCTCAGCCACTTCAGTGAAAGTCACCGTTTCAGTGCAAGCCACTCGGGATGAGTCCAGTGTTGTTGGCACGGTCTGGGTGGAATTGGAACTGCCCTCTGTGAGGTTGGCTGGCATGGCTCAGGAGGGGTTGAGGCTTGCTGTCTCTGTCCCTGCAGCCAGGCAAGAGGGTCTAGCTTGCCCCCTGAGAACTGGGCAGCAGCTGCAGCCTGGCACTTCCTCTGATTTCCAAGGCTTTTGGCTGGAGCTCGGCTGAGCAGAGGCACAGAGCCCTCCCTGAGCCCACCTCACTGAAGAGCTCTGCCTGACGACAGGGAGGATCCACGTGCTGCTCTCTCCTCAGCAGCTACAATCCAGGAGCCAGCACAGCCCTGGTCGCCCCACAGTCCCACACAGGACCAGGGCCTCGCCCTGAGGGAAGGGGGGAGCCTCCCACAGTCATGGACATGGTGCCTGGATGGGCCTCCTGCTCTGCTGTGCTTTTCCTAACTTACACAATGGGCTCCCATTCTGTTCCGGCTTCAGTAATTGAGAAACCTGGACTCATCAGCAGGTCAATTAATTCAGGTCATGTTTGCACTTCTGAAATCAATCATAATTATACATTTGTTTCTGTTAAGGTTGCTTTCTGACTTACAGTCCTCACCTAGCCATTTACTCAGTATTGTTCAATAGATGGAGGAAAACAGCATATTTGTGTTTCACACCTGTGGTTCTGCTTAGGTTTTCAAAGGGTAGTTCTCAGAAAAATGATGTGTGTGTGTGTGTGTGTGTGTGTGTGTGTGTGTGTGTGTGTGTAATCCATGATCCCTCATTGATGTGACCAGGGGAGGCCTGGTGAAATCTTCTCACCTGCTGTGGGCTCACCGTAACTCCTGCCTGGAACAGTACTCAGGGTAAGGGTGGAAAGACACTATGAAGAGGAGTTGGAAAGAATAATAGATGTTCCTGCTTCACAAGCAAACTTGCAAAGCATGTTGACCTGTGCCTTGATTTTTCCATTGGATTTCCACAACTCTGGGATGTAGGTAGTGAAGGTAACTTTATATTTTCCTTTTACACTAGGAGAGGCTGGCTGGACAAGATGAAGTGACTTGCCCAACATCCCATAACCAGAAATGGAAATGAGCTGCTAACCTTTCTCTTCTGAAATTCCTAGACAGTGGTGATTTACTGAAACATAGATGAGTTTACATCAAATCCCGAATGCTTACCAGGACGAGAGGTTAATATGTGTACGGTAGCAGGCCAGGTATAAATCATCAGGAACTAAGCTGCTTGTATGACAACCAAGCATAACATTGGAGCACGGACTGTGAAAACACTCTGAGCCAAATAGGCCAACAGTGGTTTATGGCACATGGTATAGGAGGTAGCAGGTTTAATGACTATTAAAAAAAAGACAATGACCCCCATGAAATCTCCTAGGCAAACCTTTGCATGATCCATCCCCCTTCTCCCAACAAGAAGAGAACAGTGTGCTACAGAAGGGAAGATATACTACATGTGGAATAAAGGAGCAACCATTAGAAGGGGGCTTTCCAGAAAACTGGAGATGTTATCAGTTCTTAGAAAAGGGTCAAAACAAAAAAATAACCCAACAAAAGATTCCAACTGGCAAATATTCCAGCCAACAAATGAACATGGAAAAATGCTTAAACTTATTAACAAGGAAAAGCAACTTAATACGAATTTTTACCAATTAGCATAATGAAAAATTATGTATGACTACCTGTCCCCTCCAAAGTGTTGAAAGGATTGAGAAAAAAGGGGTGTACATTTTTACTTCTGAAGTGAGTTAGGTGACAGGGTGACTTTGAAGAGCAATTTGACAGTGTCTAGCAGAGTTGCAATTACAGACCCTCTGATGCATTATTCCATTTCTAGAGGCTGGTAATTTTCCATTTCTATCTGGGTTACTTACATGTGTTTGATTTGGGAAAATTTGCTGGATTACACCATTAAAATGTGTGCACTTTTCTGTTTGTGTGTTTTATTTAAAAAATACAAAATTTTTGTGGGAAACCTCTGAGAAAGAGCAGATGCTAGTTTGGTGTGGATGGGTGGAAAGAGAGAAAATGGCAGTTGTCATAGACAACAGATAAGTGGAGAAAGACCTTTCAGGTTGTATCATTTTCTCTCTACTCATGGTCCAGATCATTGCTTGATCTAAGGTTTCTCAGTGAAAACATTCATAGATAAGTACAAGGAGACATGCAAAAGATGCCTTTGCAACATTGCGTAGAAACAGAAGCAATCTAAACATTCATGGTGTCAAAAATCAATGAGACATCCTAAAGAGGAAACTGCCCACATGCTTCTTAACTGGGTGAATAATTACCATGGAATGCTATACAGTGATGAGAGTGAAAGGTGTAGAGCCAAAAATAACATTAGAGATGAGACTCACAAACACAATATTAAGCAAAGTAATAAGCATATTTGTTATCATTTTTATAAAGCATAACTGTGTGCACACACAATGGAATATACATAACAGTTTGAAGGAATTTTTGTAGACCAGGTGGCAAATGAACATGCTATTAAGGTTATTCTTATGTGTCAGTTTGACCAGGTCACAGGGCACACAAAATAGTTGGTCAAACTTTATTCTGAGTGTGTCTGTGAGGGTTTTTTTTTTGAATGGTTAACATTTCAATTAGTAAACAGAGTGAAGCAGCCTCATGTGGATGGCTCTCACCCACCCACTGCCTAGACCTAGGACATTCGTCTTTGTTTTTGCCTTTGAAGTTGAAGTGAAAAATAGCACTTCTGGGTCTCCAGCCTATTGGTTGTGCTTCTCTAGAGAACCCTAACTGATACACACAGCTTTTAGCACCTCACCTGAACTGCTCCCTAGAGATTGTACACAGTGAGTGCTCCCTAAAGATTGTACATAGTGAGTGGAACATTGATGAAATACAGAACTTAAGCCATTCAAGCAGCTCCTGGTTTAACCTAAGTGATAAAGATGGGAAACACTCTGTATTGGTAAGGATGTGGAGGAGGAAGAAGAGCTAACATACACTATGGTGGGGAGGTAAACTGATCAAAGAACTTTGGAAAACTGCTTGGAAATATTATCGAAAGCCGAACACATGCACACTCTATGACCTAGCAGTTTCACTTCTAGGAAAATACCTATCACAAATGAATGCATATGTCAACCAAAAAAATATAATGGTGATTATAGTGACTCTGTTCGTATTTGCCCCTAACTAGAAACTACAACAACATTAAAGTGAAATAATAAACTGTGGCATATTTTCACAATGGAAAAGATACATTGATGAGAAGGCTTGATGCTGCGAGGCTGGTAATTCTGTTCCATGACTTGATGGTGCTGCACTTGTGAATGTGCATTGTACTATGTACTCTTATGGTTTCTGCCTTTTTTGTGTAGGTGTTTTGCAAGCTGTGGGGAAATCCTGCAACGGGTAGGGAGGCAGAGCCTGGTTGGGTCATAGTTTGAAAAGGGTTGGCGGCAGGAGGTAGAAATGGTGACCTAACATAGACAAAGGCTAAGGACCATGGATGGCAGATAAGCTGAGAAAGAACTTTCTAGTTGAGTTGTTTTTTCTTCACATGTTGCCCAGATAGATCCTTGCTTGGCCTGTGGTTATAACAGAGAAGAAAAATAGTAGCAGCAACTGTGGTGCGAGGCCTTGGGGTGAGGGTGAATTAAGTTCAACATGCACAGATAGGCAGCTGGCCTCTGAGTATTTCTTCTTGTCCCATTTGTATCAGGCTGAAATTGGTGCTTGGCCAGGATTGGGGTCTCATCAGAAGCTCAATGGGGGAAGGACCCACTGTTGGGTTTCTTCAAGCTATTGGCATAATTCATTTCCGTGTGGCTCATATCTTTGAAGCCAGCAGAAGGGCAGGATACTGTAGCAAGATAAGTGCACTACTCTTATGCAATCTCATACATTTAATTGCATCTGTTCTTTTCCTTATTCTCCAAAATAAAGTCACAGATGCATCTTGCTGCCATCTCAAACACCTCTGACTGCTTACTCCACTTCCAACACACCTCCCAAGGAATGAGTTGGAAGGAGTTTGCCAAGGGTGGGGCTGAGAACAGGGAGTTTGCTGGGTTGCTGGGTTTGACTGCAGCTAGGGGCACTGTGTACAACTCACTTTTGCCCCCCAAAGTGGGTCTGGCATGTTTTCCTCCTCACCACTGCCTCCCTTCTCTGATGGGTTCGCTCTCCTATATGCATGTCTGTGGATGTTTCCAGAGCATTGTTCCTAGTCCAAATCCAGGGAACTCTTTGCTTTTCTAAGCTGTTTGTGGGAATTAATTTGATATCCAAGGAACTCTCCAATTATCCTGCTGCCCTCTGCTTTCTCGTGACATTGACTATTTCTAGTGACATTGACTGTTGCTGCCTGAAATCACTGGTAATCTTTTTCACAGATAAGGAAGATGATGCAGCAAGGAGGTTAATTATAGGTTTACTTAGGATTGGCTAGAACAGAGGAGAACAATCACAATTCCCAGGTGAGGAAACTGAGGCTCAGAAAGTTTTGGAACCTTTCTTAACTTTGTATGTGTCCCAGCACATTTCATCCTTAAACTCCAACTCTGCCTCCAAGATCTGTGCTATTCTCTAACATATAATAAAAATATCAATGAAAACAATACTTGCCCTGCTGCTACCAAAAACTAAAAAATTATGACTGGCTAAAGACACTCTTGAGGAAACTGGGTTTCCAAGTCATCCATCACAGTATTCAGGCAGAAATCATGGAATTTATTGTTTTCATTGATTTGATGCTTAATCCCTTAATCCAGATCTAAGAAGTATGAAAGAACATCTTGTTCCTTCAAATAAAATAAACTATTGAAATAGTTTTTTTTTTCTGTTGACAACATACATATTTCTTATGGTGAAAGTGTTATGTGTCCACTCAGCCTTGTATGGCAGCTACACTTCCCAAAGAAGCATCTGCTAGCATTCTGCTCTGGATTTGGGTCCCATCTGTGATGGCACCAAGGCCTGTCATTCAGTGAGAAATTCATAATTGATTTCTTTCCATAAATATATGCAACAGAAATGCATGGTAGAGCACATCAGGATGGCAAGGGACCAGAGGCTACTGGATCATTTTTAAGAGGTGGGATGCTACTCAGGCACAAGATTATAACTGCTTCAGGTAATAATAAAAAGAAATCATTACAGTATTAAAGAGGAAAGAAGTCACAGGATCTTCCCATATTCTGGATAGGGGAATTACACAAGGTGTGAGTTTCAGGTTTAAATGTCACTGGGGCCACTATAAAATCCACCCTCGATATCACTCCTAGGTGTTTATACCTGAGGGAGGGAGATTTTGAATAAGACCAGGTTAGAGTGGAGCCATAAGTTTAAGAAATGTCCACTGGAAAAGATGGATTTATTAACA